AAGCCTGGTGGCATGGAAGGCGAATGTGACAATGTTGAGTCGGCAAAAGTTTTTACGACAATATTCGTTAGTGTGTCTGGCAAAGGAAGCAGTGCAAAAGAGGCGTTATTTTTGCAAAACTTCAAATTCATTGCCTTTTACAAGTGTGCTGTCTGTGTGTCTGTGTGCGGGTATGTCCTGTGACAATGAAAGAGCCTGCAAAATGAAACTTTGTTTTTACTTCATCTGCCACACGTTGTAATTCTGCTGGCTGCAGTGCAATGTACTTTCTAACCTAACCGCTGCAAGGTTTACGACTTGGCATCGAAGCTTTCATCGTTCGTCTTGCACTCGATTTAAACTTTCCCCTGTAACAGCAGCGCGCTTTCACTACCGAAACCGGGGTGCCGTGGTTTATAGGCAATGAATGCTGATGTCTTCTAATGTCATTTAAAATTTGTGTGCAACTCTGCGTTTACTGAATTGCCGCAAACCACTGTCGAGCAGTGCCATTTTAAGAGGGCGTGTGTGTGTGTGTGTGTGTTGGTCAAGTATGGAGTAGGCTGCAATCCCAAGTCATGGGCAAAAGTTTCACTCAATTTGGTAGGCACTTGAGGTGTAAGCTATTTTGGACTTTACTGCATTGCAATATTTCTTTACCCAGTTTGCACAACAAACAAAAACTTCCGATTTTATTTTTTTTCTCGATCTTGTCAGAAGCTAGTAGTTTTTTTTTTTTTTTGAGGAAATACTGCCAGAGCGGAAAGCTTCCGTGTAGATAACTAACCCATAAGTACTGAAGTCAAGCATTAGCCGCAACAGATTTAGGATAGGAGCATAGGATTTTCAAATGATATTTTTTGTGCTATTATCTGGACTAAAAGAAAGTAGTAGAAGTGACGCCATCACATACGCTGACCACAGTACACAAATCGATTTATCGTAACTAGTACAGAATTGACATATGTAAGTATACGAAGTGTCAAATTCCGGTACTTATCGTTGCCCTGTGCTGTTATCCCGAAAGTTTCGAACTCTATATATAGCCGAACCTCTTTTTGCCAAGTTTTAAGTATTATTTTTGTTGTTTTTTAATTTTGGTTATTTTTCATAAAAATCTAGTTCATTCTTTAACAAAACCCGTGTAAATTGAAGTTTTCAACTTTGTGCAATATTAAAAAAATGCAACAAACTTTCGTACAAGTTTCGAGATTTTTTTAAAATTCTAAAAAATCAATCGTAATTTTTAACTATTTGAAACTTGCACTTTATTCTACTAGAATTCAATGGGCTACAAAAGTGCATACTCAGAATCTAATTGAAAATTCGAAATTTTTACGAAAATTTGTTGATTTGTTTTTTAATTGTATACATTTTTAAGTCAATGTCACTCGATTGTTCAGACATGTGCATTTTTATATTGGGCTATTCGTACAGAATAAAAAAATTTGGACCATTTTTTCGTAGTCAAAAGATTGGTACAATACAGCAATCTTCTATTGAAACATTTCAACAAATTATTTTTCGTGATTGGGATAAAGAAAAATATTTGGGTATTCACATAACTGGGTTACGATTTGCACCAAATTTCGGCAAATACCCGATCAAATCGGCAGGAATTTCAAAATTTCAACCATGTTTGTGTATTTTTGTCAGTATTTTTCTTTAATGAATCTATGTAGAAACAAAAAGTAACCAAAAATATTGTGTTTCTGGAGAATTTTGTGTTGAAAGATATACTACGTCATTAAGTGGAACCACTTTTATAAAGACGAATATCTTCAACACTTATCCATAGAAAAAATTAACTCGATTTTTGGGAATCAACGAAGGATTCTACACAAGAATTGTATAGTGGCATCCAGTGTGCATTTTTTCTGTAAACCAGTGCTATCGAACTGGTCACGCCTTACACTGAGACAAGATTATCAGACATTTATACATATTAAGGATGAACACGCTGGGATTTCGTTTATTGAGCTCAGGGCTGGGTTTTAAGTAATTCTACGTAAATTATCAACGAAATACTCTTACACGTGGGCTGAGTCACCTGTATCATTTGCAGAAATACTAATAACTTAAGCACGTAGTTGAAGAGCTACATATGTATGTAGGAGTTTTCCAACAAAATAATGGTTCGCCATTGCGTATTTTATGGTACAGCGCTATCAAAGAAGAACTTGATCGTCTGAGCATTAATGTGACAAAACGAGGTGTCGACAACAGTCGGAGAGTAAAGCAATCCGTTCAATACAGGCTGATTTGGGCATTAAAAGACGATCACTTACCTATGCCGACCACCTCAGCAGGTAAATTTGCGATCCATTTAACACTTACTTTCAACAGTAGTGTTCGCCAAAACAGATACAAATGTACATATATGCACTGATTTCTAAGGTTTCAGATGTCAAAAAATTACCATCAGAAGTACTGCCACTGATATATTAAATTTGAAGCCAACACGTTCGTCCAATATAAATACATATATATTGCACATCAAAAACTCGTAATTTCTTAGTACATTCAACTTCTTATAGCCTTTTAACGCAACACATTACCGGTGATTGCAACTAATTTTAGCAATTCTGCACGAATTTTACGCAACAATCCAGCTCTAAGTTTCTACCTTCGCTCACCTTTATGCAACGCTGTACTCCTCCACCATTGTTCACTTGGCAAAAATCACACACCTGTCCTTTATGTGCTGATTGCGCATTCAAGCAAATTGGGCATGTGCGAACATTTTTGTGCGAGAGTGTGTTAGTGTGTGCGGTTTACAAGCAGATTTTCGACAGTTAAAACCATAGAGTGCAAGCAGCAGCGTGCCAACTTAGTGAAATTGAGTTGAGTTGAGTTGAGTACGGGATGAGCATACGCAAATTTGACTAACTTAGCAAATTTTTGTTACTTATACTTTTCGTGAAAAAATAAAATAAAATAAAAAATAAAACTTCTACAAGACTTTGCTTTCGGGGCAGTTTTGGGGTATTACACAGAAGCCAGCTTGCATGTATGTACGTACCGTTTGTATGCATAGCTAGTATGTATAGAAATCAAACTTACAACTTAAATGCTCAGCTCAGCGTTCCTGCTACTTTGTACACTCATCGCTTGATGTTGGAGTTTAATATTCTTTCTAAGTAAGTAAGTAAGTAAGTAAGTAAGTATGCGTGCATAGTCATCGAGCCAACATAATCTTGTTAGACGGCAAAGTTTATTGCATGGAAATTTGTCCAACAGCAGAAAACAAAAAGAAAACTTATGCCAAGAAAGAAAGTACAAAAATAGAGGAGCTAAAAAGTAGCAGCAGAAACGAGCTTAAAGCGATAGTGATGCAGCGAAAGTAGTGTAAAGTGGAAATTGCCTCAAACTTGGCTCGCTGGTTGGTTGGCAGGCAGGCAGTCAGGCAGTCATTGCAGGCAGGCAGTCAGACAGCCACAATGCTTGCGTAATTTATGCAAGCGACGAGCGGCGGCTTACATGGCTTATACTTGATATAATAGAAAATATAAATTTCTGATAGAATTTGCATAATTTCCACATGGCCGAGTGAGTGAGGCGCCAGCACGCAGTGAGGTGAAATCATGGAAAGAATTGCACATTTATAGCGTCGATATAGAAAAGATAGAAACTCGCATGCCAAAACAAGGATATTGTGTGTGTGTATGTGCGAAGTTCCCCACCACCACCACACCTCATTTTCGTCAACAATTGCAGTGTGTGGGGGTCCAGTATAATCTAAATGCTTTTGAAGGATAATAAAAGCATTAACTTCTAGGTAATTTTAAACGAATTTTTGGCCATCAGTCAGCTGCTTGATTGGTTGTGTGGCCTGAATTTGTGCTGCTAATTGCCATGGTTTAAGCTTTGAATTATGGCACGAATACCTACATTTTTAGATGAAAGTTTAAAACTACATAAATGGAGTGCCTGCTGTTATTTTTGATTTTCTCACTGACATACATACAAGAGATAATGTTAGTACATATGTAAGTATGTACATATATAGGTGATGGATTAAGCCAGAATAATTTTATAGTTGACAATTGGTAAAAGTATACGCTTTGGGGACTTGTTTAACAGCTAGAAATTCTTTATAAACTGTCTCAGGATTTAAAAATTTTGAATATTAAATTTTCTTAAAAAAATTTACTTTAAATTTACGGGGCTCAATTTAAACTATTTTAATAACTTCGAAACTAATATGGTCGATAATATGATTGAAGAAATTATGTTCAGCTCGTCAAGCGTCCTCCTATTACGTTTTTAGCGAAAATAACATGATTGATAATATGATTGAAACTACAAGTGAAAGATTTAAAACTTTGCAGCGCCCCTTAGCTAGAGAACGCCTTTAAAATGAAACTCGAGCCACACTTTCTGACGTGATTGACGGTATGCTTGAATTTAAAGCTTGATGACTAGCACGAATAACAACTATAGATAAATTAGCACAAACTGAAGAAACAAACTTCGAGTAATTTTCTTAAATATAAGGCATGCTTGATTGATGGTATGTTTCAACATCATTCCCAGTTTGTAATACAGGCCTTTTTCTATCTATCTACTTATCACAAATCCTAGCTTCACATACAAGGGAGAACATATTGAATGCCTGTAGAAACTGCTGGCATTCTTGATAGTACTTTAAGCTTGATGTTGTGCTTGAAGGGGTATAATACACAATAATGTCCAAAAATTTTAACTTTTAAATCGATAATGTAATTAGTTTTGACTATTGATGAATGCTTGACTTTGCTCAAAGCACCATGACATGCTTGAATAAGTCACTGATGTTTATCATATTTAAATACTTTTGAGAAATTGAATTGATAACGAATTGAAACGTAGTCCGATGGCTGGACCAGCCTTCTCAGTGGACGTGTTCCTAAGACATTTTATTTTTATTGATTATTATTTATTATTATTATTTTATTATTTATTATTGATTATGGCCCAACACATATCTTCCAGATAGTCTTAAAATTACAAAATACAATTTAAAAAAATTGCTCACTCACCTTGCCCAAATTGACGAAACCATGATCTCGCGCCACTTGATCGGCCACACCACTTTCTTCGCCGTTGGGTATATGCACCGCCCATGTGTGCGTATAATTTCCAGCACTCCCACTTTCGCCCTCCTCGTCGTAGTCCAATTCAAAGGGCCACCCCGCCGCCAGCGTCAAATCATCGCCACCACCAACACCAACGCCAATCGCATTCCCTGCAGCTGTTTGGTTCCCATGCGAGGTGGCTGCGGCGGCGGCGGTGGCAATGGCAGCGCTGGCGCTCGGCAAAGTCACGAAACCGACATTCAACGTACACAACAAAAACACTAACACAACACTCAATTCCGCACAATTCAACAAAATCCTATTTAAATGCAAAGCAACAGATGTCCGCGACGCTACTGCTGCTGCTAGCTGCTGGCGGCGAGGCAGACGGCGATGGTAATAATGGTGATTATGTTGTTGCTTTTGTGGTCGTAATTGCTGTTGGTTTTCTTGTTGTTGTTGTTGGAAATGTCTACTATATGCACTAGACGCTGATGTTTTTTTCGATTTATGTTTGATCGCATGTGTTTGTTGTTGGCTTACGCTATGACGAGTGTTCACTAAATAACTACTTGTTGTTGGCGTTGTTGTTGTTGTTGTTGCATTAAGAAAACTTGCATTAGTATCACAATGTTGTTGCTTTTGCAGTTGATGAAGTTGAAGCTGCCTAGCCGGTTGCCTAAACGCCCACCCACTTGTAGTCGCCGCATTTGCCGACCATCGAGAGCTGTTGTTATTCGCAGCAAAATTTCGTGTTGGATAATCGCTGTAGTTGTTTTGGTTTTTGCTTTTGCTAGTCGCGCTCTCGCTACCGATTTGTGCTTTCGCTGCTGAATTCCATCGTACGACGTCGTTTGTCATTGTGCGTGCGTTAGGCGCAGGATTTTGCTACTGAGCGAAGGGGGGGGGGGAGCTACTGTGTTCGGGATTTTCTAAGGAAGTGGATTTAGGGGATGTGCGGGTAGTCGCTGCTGTAGCTCTCTGCTCTCCCTTCTCTCTTGGTATAAGAACGCCGTCGTTAGTGAGAAAATAGAATGATCTGTGCACAGAGTTGTACTGGCATCGATTGACCCAGCAGTGGTGGAGATCACAGAAGGAAAAATGAAATTGTTGATTTTATGCTGAAAATAGAAAAATAAAGGATGTCGTTGAAAATGTTTGTATGTATACACAACAATATGTATGTATACAAGTACTTATACATACATATGTATAAAGAAATGGAATGGACGGTTAAAATTTTTTATTCAAAATCAAAAAAATATATATATTCGCAATAAAAAGTTAGAATATTCACGAAGATTTAGAGAACTCGGTGAAAATCGCTTATTAATTTCCTCAAGCATTTAAAACTTAAAAAATGTGTTTGCTGAACATAAACAAGATTTTTAATCACCGCCAAAAATTCACTTAAAACTGTTTACCTATACGACAAAAAAAAATATTAATTTTGTGATTTTAAACTGGAAAAAAATTGTTTAAAAGCCTAAAAAACTAGGAAAAGGGATTTCTGTTTTTTCCATTTTAATACAAATTTTGAAAAAAAATATTTTATAATTTCGTACCTATAAAAAATTTGCAAACAATTTTCCGATTTTCAAGTAAATAAAATATAAAAAATGTTTTAACAAATCTCAATATTTTAAAGTTTTATATATTTTTGGTCAATTTCTTTATTTAAAAGCATTTTTATCCAAATTTGAAAAAAAAACACTAAATAAGTTCCTACCAATAGATACATATGTATGTTTGTATATAGAATTTCACAAAAAATTAAAATTAAGTTAGCAATTTTTGACGCTCGCCCAATTTGGAGACAGCGAATAAAATTTAATTTTATGCATGATCTACATAATTAAAAGGACGTAAAGTTTTCTATCATAGTAAAATATGGTTTCTACATAAACTAAAATTACGCCTTTTATTTTTTGAGCAATAAATACCTAACTATAATTTTTCAGGCAAAAATTACTTTTATATGTATGTATATGTATACCTTTTGGAAAAAAACATCTAATTATTTTTGCTGTTATTTTCTAGATATTGACGATAAGATAAAATGCTGGCAGATTTTTGAAGTTTTTCCAAGATTTGTCGCAGGTTCTTTTGAGGATTGTGCGTGGATCTTCGTGTTCAGGTATTCGGGAATTTTTTGATCTTCTAACTTTTCTGAACTTTTACGGAGTTGTTTCGGGTGATTCTTATCGTTTCGTTTTACGCGCTGGTGTGAACTTTTTGGCAATTTCGGAATTTTTTGAACCGTTGTTTTGGAGAATTTCAGACTCTTCGAAACTGTTATGGAATTTTCAAGAATATTCCTGATGTTTTTTTGATTTTCGGACCGTTCAGTATTTTGTTTGGAATTGTCGGGGTTCTTAGAACTTTACTATTCTGGTATTTTTCTGGAACTTTTAGGATTTTTCGAGCATTTTCCGTGACTTTTTCAAACTCCCGGGTTTTCGGGGTAGAAATTTGGAAAATATTATATCCAAATCTGATAAGAATAAAAACTCACGCAATTTTAAATTTCAGTATTTTGAAACCCTATGCGATCACATTTCCATTGTATCATCCACCACTTGCTTAGAGCTTTAAATAATTTTTGCCTTAGGATTTAACTTCAACATCAGATTAAACTTAAAATTCTTAAGAGGAAATGAAATGCCAAATTTCCGTTGGCCTGCGATATTGTTCACTAACCAAATTGCAAATATTTACTGTTTATCTAACTGTCAAAAGCAGACATTTATTATATTTATCCTACTGAAATATGCCAGCTACTTAGAGATAATACTCTGCGGGCTATCCATATCAAATATTGCCAATATGTACATTTGCACGTACATATTAACATAACGCACTTAACATAGCGCAAATGTTGTGGGAATGCGTTGCGTTGAGCGATTACTGGATTTGTTTTCATGTGCCCGCAACTACTAATATAAGTATAAGCGATATGCCTGCAGCGAGGAATTTTATTAAGTACCAGTCGAATAGCCAGCCAAGCGGCCGAAGCAAGGAGCAGAGGTTATAAATCATGAGACGAGCTGAGAGATAACAGAGAAAATGCTCCATTGTATGTATGTGTGTGTGCGCTTGCAAAACCCCGACTAAGAGTGGATTGGAGTGTAGGTGTAATCCAGCTCCGTTAATCATTTGTCTGCTATGACAGTTGTTAGTTTACATATTTTGACACTTGCCAGCTGGGGAGCTAGTACATTCCTACAAACATAGCCATGTACACGTCAGTGTCAGTGTCAGCGACAGCGACAGCGTCAACATGTCTGCTGTCTACGTCATTTCGTATGGTGTCCTTTGAAGTCATCAAGCATATTGAAAGCTTTCGTCGTCGTCGTCATCGTCATAGTCAACGCTTTATTGGCTTATTTGCTTAGGCCCACAATTTATTATAAATACCGATAAATGGCTATAAATGTATGTGCGTCTATATATGCGTATACATGAATGCAAACATTGTAAGCTTACGGCAGTAAGAGCCATCGAGCCGCCACTTTAACTCTCTACCGCTTCATACTCTGCCTTATAGGCCTGATTCATATCTATGTAGTTTAAGCTACTAGCTGTTACATTATAAATACTTGCAACTAGATATGTATGTATCTATATTCTTCGATTTGATGTATTCATGTGTGTTCACTTATTTACATACCCCATTGCCCAGTTTGGTGCCTCTACTTCATGTACATAAGTTAGGTCTTGTCTGTAAACGTCAGCTTATCCGCTATTTGTCCTTTTTATATGCCTTAGCTGGGTCCATCAATCTACATACAATTAAAGTGGTGTAGGCACGTTTGCATATACATACATACATATATACTTCATGAAAATACTACAAATCCGCTTGCTTAATTGCTTTGTATCCACGCATATTTATTCTAGTATGGCTGTGCCAATGGCAATAAATTTCAATCAAATGCGGATTAATGCTTGGATTTCTTTCTGTGCAGCGCAGTTGTATTTGAGATATTTCATTGGTATTTATTTGCATAGGACAGAGTTGTGTTTTGTTCATACCCATGTAGTGCAATGCATTAGTAAAGTCTGAGGGAATGAAATTACCTTTATCATGACTAATGGCCATATAAGAGTATCATCAAAGTATTTTGTTTGTATTACTGCAATGAAATATTATTGCCTTAGAGCGACTTTTTAGAGGCAAATTATTTGGAAAGACTTCTTAAATCAGCTGCTTGTTTAATTATAGTTAATTTTGGTCAAAGGGTGTAAAAATGGCCCCTAGTCCAATGAGTTTCAAATGAAGCTCCCCTGATGCCTACATGCCCGGTTCGTCTGTGGGAATATAACGTGCCTATTCAAGTGTAGCGGGGTGTACTTCTACTAACATGCCTGCCAATGTATAATTCAGGAATTTATCCATTTAAAGTTACATAGGTAACTTTTCTTCACATTCTGAGTGCTTATCAAACTCTTAGTTTATCTCCTAAATGAGAATCCTTTGCTCGATATATTTTGTTATTTCCTACATACAATCAGCTTGTTCATTAATCACTTGGATACGCCATATATATTATGTACGACATACACGCTTTTTTTGAATAATTTGTAACATACAAACAAACGGCTTCTGCGGCATTCGCATAGCATAGCGACTTTGCGAGCAACCAATTAAAGTGATATATATGTTTCAAGATTAAAGGAAGGTCGCATAAATCATTGGCAGCCTAAAAGAAGGCGAAATTGGCTTTTTTAGATTGATTGTTATGGCTGCTGATATTGGTCTAGGTTTTAGGCATTGCATTTATTATTGCCTTAGCATGGCTTAAAATTATCGGCTTAAGTAATAAGAAGCTTCTGCACTTCATAAACGGAAGATAAGCTTTGGTTTAACTAATTAAATTTTTCTTCTTGGATTAAAAGTCTGTCTTAACTATACGTGGCGTATACGTAACATTGTTTATTAACGAATTTAAAATTAATTAAAAAAATATAAATATTTTTTGGCACTCACTATTTTTTGCTAAGCATTCGAACGAGCTTCTTTTACATTTTGTGGTGATTTTGGCGCAGCTTCCTCGTCGAAAACTATACTCGAAGGTTTGCCATCAACTTTTTCACAAACAAAAGCACTGTCACTTGCATAATTACTGTCATCGTTACTGTCACTATGCCTGCAGCACCGCAGCTGTAGTGTTGATGGCATTGCCATTGAGAGTTTTGAAAGCAAAGGAATCGAACAAATAACGTTGAAAAATCACGACATAATGCCATAGTGCAATGCCGCAAATTTCGCACAGGCATAAAACATGCAAAGCCGCAAACATAAAACAACATGGTGTGCATAAGGGTGATCCAAAAATATATGTGAAAAGTAAAGTTGCAATTTTTATGCCGAAAAAAATATACTCCTATTTATTTATTTCTTTTTAAATAAAAAAATATTTAGAGGTCGCTCAAAGCCTTTAATAGAAATGATATAGAATTTTTGAGAATCAATATTTTTCGATCGGAAAACTTTGTTTCTCTTCCGGATATTCCCAGTAGTAATACCCAGGTATTTGTTTAACCATTTTTTGATAGTAGCTATATTTTATAGGTCCGCCAAAAACACCAGAAAATGCAATGGGGGGGGACCAATAAAAAATTAAAATTATTAAAAAATTAAATTAAATAAACAATTGGGTATTATTGTTGGAAGTCTCCTGATGATAAACAAAGTTTTCCGATTGAAAAATATGGATTTTCAATAATTCTATAACATTTCCACGAAAACTTGTTTTTCCCCATATAAAATACATGGAAAACTTTGAGCGCTTTGAGCGACTTCTAAATTATTTGATTCGGTGTAGAACAATTCCAGCGGATGAGAGCATTAAAATTCGACATTACTTTTCTTTGGAGCACCCTAATGGAAGTACATACATATGTACATATATTTGTATGCCTACACTTGGCCACAACTTCCTTTGCTAGCTATGTACATACAAACATATGTACAAGTATACTCATAACGGAAATGTCAAAAGCAGCACTCAAGGCAGAGTTCAAAACTACTTAAGTTTGACAATTATTCGCACTTATGTTATGTGCACAAACATCCTAGTGGTATGTATATATGTATGTATATGTAAGGACATGTGTA